AAGGCCTTCACAGGGTCACTTCTTGCAAGCTTAGACGGGAGGGTTGAGCCTTTAGGGTTAGGGTTTAGGGTTTAGGGTTTAGGGTTTAGGAGTTTAGGAGTTTAGGGTTTAGGGTCTAGGGCTTAGAAGAGAGGGGGAGGCACCCTGGCACAATAAGTCCCAACTCCCCTAGCATCCCAAGAGGGACTAGAATCTTGGTCCGACATAGATCTTTTTTTTTTTTTTTTTTTTTNNGTTTTTTTTTTTTTCGTCTGGGCTCCCCCAGACCCCAAACTCCCTAGACCTGGGCCTGAGGGTTGATTATCATAAGGGTTCTGTCTTGGGGCTCAAGACTCCTACACTGTCACCGTTCGCCATGAACCTCCGCGTGCTTTAGGGGCTTCGTTTCTGGCTTGTTTTCCCTTGGGGACAGTGGGCTTCAGGCCTGAGGCCGCAGGAGTAAGCTAGGGGAGTTCTCTCAAGTAGGGTCCCCCTTTACGGGTCCTTTTTATAAGGGTGCCGTACTATATTGGGGACCCAAAAAGGGACCCTGATTTAGAGAACTACCCAGAGGCACTTGAAGCTTATCGTTTAGGGTGCGTGGTTTAGTTCAGGTGTCTGCTTTGGGTTCATACAGTCTCGTAGGAGAGCTTCATAAACAAGCTGGCGCAAAATTGCAAGCGATAGTCTAACAATCATGCGTTTGGGCAGTTCTCTAAGTCAGGGTCCCTTTTTCAGTCAACACAAAAGTACAGCACCCTTATACTTGAACTTTTCCTGTACCTGCACAGAATAGACTTTGGTCCGAAGCCCTGTCAGGGCTTTGGGTTTTTGAGGCTTTAGGGTTTCAGGCTTAAGGGTTTGGGATTCCAAAAGTTTTTTGAGTTCAAAAGCCAAACCTCTTTAAACGCCTGCAAGCTCCCCAGATGAAGAGAGCCTCTGTTCTTCTCCGTCGGATGGCCACGCCGATCTCCTAGGGGTTCGGGGTTTAGGGTTTAGGCTTTAGCATCCCGAAAGGAAGCTAGGGTTGTAGGGTCCTCGGGTCTTAGGATGTAGACTTCAGGATCCGAGATTTGGGGCATGCGGGCCGTGCTTCAAAGGGTGTTTCAGAAGCCGACTGTGACCTTTTTTTGGCACCTGGGCCTCTTCCGAAATCCTGTAAAACCCCAAATACCAAGTCCTATGGGTTGAGGCTTGTGTCCTCAAGTTAGAGGCTGGGGGCTGAAGGAAGTCTAGTACTTGTAGGCTGGGGGCCTTTTGCTTTCAAGGCTTGGGGCATAATGGGAGTGAAAAGACTGGTGTCTCAATTGCAGCCCTGTGCAATTCGTAACCCTAAACCCTGAACCCCCTAAATCCTAAACCCTCAACCCTCAAGATATTGTGGGTTTAGGTAAAATATAATAGAATGTAAACTAAATACGGTAGAATACCTCATTGTGATTAATCTGATTAAACCCGGGAAATAAGATATCCCTTCTTTTGAGAATCGTTACTCTGGCTTGGCCTTAGACACGACTAGCCTGGTTCATAGGCAACACAGTCTTACATAAAGCCCACAATGAGTCAACAAGCTGGGCGGCCGGGGTGTTGCTGGGGGTCTCCATGAAAACCACACTCATAACGGTTCCCACGCTGACACATATGAGAAATCTCGATTTGGGTAGTTTTATAAATTAAAGTCTGTTTTTAGGTCCCCCAAATAGTAGGGCACCCTGCTTAACAGGACCCTTCTTTGGAGAACTCCCCATTTGTTGATGTAGAGGAGGATATTACTGGAATCCCCTTACATGACGTCGGGGCGCTCACAAGGGAGTTTCCCAAAATAAGGGGTACCTTATTTTGGGGTCCTTATAATTGGGATCATATTATTTAGGGTACTATATTAGGGTCCCCTATTTTCGGAAACCCCCACAAGAGTCTGGGAGAGAATTTCCTATCAGTGAGCAGAGGTCAGCCAAAGCCTTGACCCGAACTGCAACTGCGGTCACGAGCTGTCGAGCCATACGAATCCTAGCTTCCAGCCCTAAAACCTAAACCCTAAACCCGTAAACCCCAAAAACTCCGTGCACTCTGATAGCCTCCAGGGTCTATGAGCAGGGTGTTAGGATTTGGCGTGCAGGCTTTTAGGGTTTAAGATAAGGGCCTTCATAATTAGAACAGGGGTTTTTACTCCAATAGAAGGGCCTTCATAATTGGAGTAGGGGTTTTTACTCCGAAAGAAGGGCCTTAATAATTAGAAGAGGGGTTTGGGGTAAAATATTCTGCGCTCATAATCAGGGACCCCCCAACATAGTTTATTTCGGCTGCTATATTAGGCCAACACTTTGGGGCTTTAAGGGATTCGAAGCAGCTGGGCTTTAGGGCTTTTGCAGCCCAGGCCATCAGAGTACAGCCTTCTACACTACTCAGAATCATGTCCCTAAAGCTTCAGAGTTCAGATTAGCTCCAGCGAAACCAACACGCCCCAAGCCTGTATAAACCCTCAACCCTAGTTAACTTTAAAGACCCTACCGGGCAAGGGACCTCCACTGTCAGCGTGCCATCACCATTGACGTCCACCTCAAGACGGCACTCTTATGGCAGCTTCGGACAATGTGCGACCATAAGTCTAGGACGGCCCGACAAAACTCAACAACCTACTGAACCCACAAAGCAAACCAACACGGCCCTCAAACCACGATAACTAAAGCAGCTAAAACCGCCCGGAACCCATTAGCTCCCTCCAGTGTAGCCAGACAAGCCGCACAATGCTCGAACCGCTTCAACTCTGAAGCTCAGAGGTCTATTAAAGCGCAGAGTGTCTCGTGACAAGGTTTGTTCGGCACCTGTAGTTCTTTAGGGTTTTTTTTGGGGTTTCGGGGCTAGGATTTAGGGCTTTCGGGCTTAGGGTTCAGAATCTTTGTACGAAGGATCCGATCGTATAGGGTCTGGGTGCCGAACAGGCAAGCAAAGAACGTTGGTTCAAACCCGAGAAGGCACAAACCGAAGAATCGGGGGTCTGCAGGTTCTTGCTTCTCAAGTCTTGCAGCAGTGGTTGAAAGTATGCTGCAGGGTCTGAAAGTCTAAGACTCTAAGATTAAGATCTCTAAGATTGATGTGCTGCCGGGCCTCCAAGGCAGAGACACTACTCAAACCGTAAGCCCCGAACCAAAAACCTTAAACCCTCAGCCCTTAACCCAAAGCGTCACCCAAAACCTTAAGCACCTCAGCCCTACATCTTTACGTGTCCTCTCAATCGTAATGTAGGAGCCTTAATAATTAGAATAGGGTTTTGGGGGTATACAATACTACTGAAAATAAAAGGGAACCCCCAAACTAGTATATAGGTAATTATGGCCCCTATATTACACTCAAAAGAATCCTAAACCCAACAGTGCCTCTGCGAAAAGCCGCTCTGCCAAGTCGGCGACAATCATTCGAAGCCTGGCTTGCTCATGGGTGCCCCCTGACCACTCGACGACCCAAAGATCCCTTAATGAATTAGGGAAATATACCTTAAATCACTAGGGGCCTTACTATTATGACACGGACGAGCGCGGGCACGGCCTCTTCATTCCAGTAGGAGAAGTCCCGGAAAGCATGTCTTCGAAGCCAGCAGCAGGAGAAGTCCCGAAAATGAGCTCCGCGAAGCATTTGGCACATGCAACAATGCTGCGGTCGGAATCTGTGCATCTCCTGCTTTGACACCCGGCTTCAGTGCATGGATGTCGGATTCCACTGTCGTGATGAAGACTGGTGCATCTGCCACGTAACGGTAAAGGCCATCGTGTCGTGCTGATTTTGACGTCTTGGTGTTTCGAAAGGTTTACCTTCGAACCACAAGAGTTGCATTGCATTGGGTATCGGATCTTGTTGGAACCGCCAGTCGTCGAGCAGCGCAAGCGGGCAGCTTGGCAGAGAAAGCAGCGGAAAGCTGCCTCTGTCTGCTTTTAAGGTATAGTCTTTAATTCTTATAGGGGTCTTAATATCATAATCCTAGGTGTATTCTCTATTAAGGGCTAGTGGGATCTCCGGGCAAGGTTCCTTGTAAGGAAGCCGGGGTGGAAGCCTTGCACTACCCCACGTTACACGCAAAGGAGCTAAGGTGTAGGCTTCATGCAGCCCCAATTACGGATCCCGGTATCTATCCCGTCTAGTAGCTTAGAACTTAGTTTGTTTTCGAGCCTTCCGGATGGCATAAACAAAAGGCATACTTCCCTCAATCGCATCAGATTCCTTCACCAAGGGTTCCTCACTCAAAACGACAAGTATAGGGTTTAGGGTAGATCTCATGTTGCCTACGACACGACTTCATTGAAGAAATCCGGAAGCGTAATCGCGCACCTGGGAACCTAGGGTTTATGTAAGCTCTAAACACCCCAATCCTCCCGAAATCCCAAAGCCTAAACCCTCGGGTTTATGTTCACACCAAGTCCCTCGATCCTAAAGGAGGGTCTTCTACCATAGCAGCCAAGCGCTGCACAGAACTTGAGAAAGCTCGAATGTCCGGGAGGCAGTGCAGTTGAAGTCATTAGGGAGAATAGGTAGTATTATTAGGGGTACCCCTTACAGGGTACCCCTTCTGCACCCTACTTTTGGCTCTCTTCAAAGGGACCTTATTGAGAGGGTCTATATCCCCAAGAGTCCCCCTAACCCTAGCTCCCAGAGAAACAAGTGAACGCTTTTATTTCATAATCGAGGAAGGAAACAAAAATGGAAGTATGGTGCTCCAGCTACTGGTAGTAGTGTTGAATTTGCATGAGAAGTTGCGACCCTGTACCAAAAGCTCCTCTAATCTTGCCCCCAGCAAACCACATGAAGTTGCTCATGTTAGTCTGCACTGAAGTAGGTAACTCAACTACATACGCTCTGAAATTAGACGCGTTGTTCAACCTTTCAACCGAGACTCTGCCCAGGTGGGTGGGATCTCAACAACATAGTCTCAATGGGAAATGCGCGGCCCGAACCGTCAGAATAGGAATACGGTTTTTGGCATATCGTCGTACCTTTACATACGGACTGTATGGGGACATTGCAACTGCTTTTGCAGATCTCCACCGTAACGCTGAACCCACAGCCTAAACCCCGAAGCCCGAACCCTGAACCCAGTATACTTGATTCCTAATATTCCTAGACCCTGAACCCAGTATCTCGATCTTGGGATCCAGCACATCTTCCGGCACGCGCTCATGTCTAAACTCCTGCACGGGTGTACATAAGTTTCCGGGAAGCAGACTCCCAAAAGCCCCATTCGCCCCCTAAGCACGCATCAGATACGAGAGGGTGTTCAGGATTGTTCCTCAACCCTTGCACAACAGTCCAAAACTTCTCATTAGGAATCTGTAGTTTGACAAGGGATATCTCTGGTTACTCTGGAGGAAAGCTCGTGCTGAGCAGTAGAAACACTGCGTAGCATCTGCAACGGTATCAAGTCGAAACGTACTGCACCCAGTGCGGCTGCTGAGTCGCTACATAATATGGTAACTCGATCTCAATAGTGTCGCTAGTGTTTACTGTATTACTGTAATACTCTACATGGTACCGCAGCATAACTTATGACTGAGAGTATCTCGTTCAGCTGCTTCTGCGGCTTTTGCTTCTGCTGCTGCGACCGCATGATGGTGTTGCTTGCGGTAGTGGGTGGCGGCGGCATCGATGTTTGTTGCAGTCGGGGCCGGCGGCAATCCAGCATTGTTGCCGCTGGAACTGTATCTCCCGCCATCTCTTTATTCTTCCTGTGAAATACTGCTGCTGCAGCTGTTGCCATGGCTTGTACAACTTCCAGGTCCCATTGAGGTATATTCCTTCATTAAAGGGTATTGGGATCTCTGGGCATATACCCCGTCTTAAGTTTCGCAGTTGATCAGCCTTCCTGCTTCCCAGTGATTCTAAAGTCAACAGATGAAACCCACGAGAACTGCATCGCCTCGGTTTGTGGCTTAGGGTTGCGGACTCTGAGTTCGGGGGCATTGGTTTCCAAACAGTGAGTGAGTTGACAGGAAGCCTGATCACAAAAAACTCACGAAACCAACGATATTCCAAAACGATACGAAACCCTCCGGAGCAGAGATAGTGAAAGGCCCATGTTTCGGAACAGGACTAAACTGAGGCCAAGAAGTCCTGAAACGCTTATGAAGGTTGCGTGTTGAGAGCAATGAGAAAACATCATCCTCTTGATCAGACATGTCCTTGTACATGTCGATGTTACGCATCCCCTGGCCGCCAAAATATACTGCACTTGAAGCATGTAATGTGCTCGTACTTCCAACTGGCACATGAACCTGGACCAACTCATCACGGCATTCGTAGGTGTAGGTTGAACAACTGCATACTTGTGTCATGGCTTTAGGATTCCTGGTTTTCCAAGACCCGGATTGTGCCAGGGATCCGTACATAATTCAGGTTTCTATAGAGGGGAAAGTGTACATTAAGGCCCCTATAGAGGAGGGGGTCCAGTAGTCACGGGGGCTACTACGTGTAGTCAGACCCAAACGCAAAGTATAAGTTCGCCCATGTTCAAAAGGAGGCCCACATACACTCAACAAAATCACCGATCTTTTTTAGTCTAGCGGTCTTAGACAAAACAAGCGCTTCTGCAAGGGTGTGTTTAAAGCACAAGGTCAAGAGGATCTGATGTATCATAAGTGTGCTCACAGGGTTCGTAAGGATCTATAGGCTTGTACTAGTGATTCATACCGTTTGGTAAGGGTTTTGCATGGTACTTGGAAGGTGCCTAAGACTTAGTAATTAGCTTGGTGGCAGAATGTAAGTAAATTCAAAAGTAGGGACCCACATGCTAAGACTAAGTGCGCCACAGTATCCTCCTTGTAGGGTTAAGTGGTGCGACCAGCATGTACCCCAGCATGTGCCCGGCGAATCTGAAGAGTGGCAGCAAGCTAAGGGGGCTCATCCAGAGATCCTGCTTCATGACACACCTCCGTGGCGGAAAGATCGTGATGAACAGGAGTGTACATAAAGATCCGCTTTCAGGCAGAGTTCACAACTTTTTTGCGAGCCCCTAGCGGCTAAAGTTAGTTTTTGGGCTTCAAACTCTGGACGCCGATCAACTTGCAGGTCCGCTTTAACCCCTAAACCCTAATCAATATGCCCTATAAACCCTAAACCCTACAACCCTGGACCTTAAACCCTAAACCTTAAACAGTAAATTACACCTCAGGTCGCGGTGTTATGCCGTAAGGCCGCAGTCAAATTAAGAAAAAATGCGGTTTAGCCTGAAACTGCTACGTAGAGCTGCTGGTGAACGCTAAACCTGGTTGCCGAGGTCCCCGGCCAAGGGTGCGAACCCTAACTAACCCCTAAACCCTAACCTAAGCCTAAACCCTGAACCCTACACCCTAGCCAACCCCTAAACCCTAACCTAAGCCTAAACCCTGAATCCTTGAACCATAGCAGGAGTGCAAGATACACCCAGAAAGATCAAGGGTTATCGGCCCAGCCTAGTAAGTAAACCCTACACCCCTGCCTTCTGCTTGACAAACCCACGAAGACGGAAACATGGAACACTAGACATAAATGCCTGCCAGACGTGAGCGAACCCCTTCGACCTCCACGAACTCCGTCCTGGTCAGCTCGCCGCCTCTGCATAGACTCCCACCCTAAACCCTAAACCGTAAACCCTAAACCCTAAACCCTAAACCCTAAACCCTAAACCCTAGCTTGCCGGATAAGCTCTGAATGCTGTCCGTGATTCAAGGCATCTTCTCTTGGGATTCGGGTTCACACGGCTACAGAGTAACAGCTCACTTCGGGCGTCTACGGACCTTTGCTGTTGCTGCAATCCTCATGGAAGTAAAACACAAGTAAACAAACACCCTCGTCCTGATAAACTCTATAGCCGGAACCCTGAAGGAAGCCTGAACAGATGCCCGAAGGCCCTCAGTGCAAACCCTGACCCCTACGCCTACTAAGCCGTACAGAAACCTCTTTTCAAGCTCTGCCAAGGGGCTGTTATCTTGGTCCATGGCCTCGAAAATCTTTGGCGACAGGAAGAACTTCTCCTCCCGAGATGGCCGGGGTTCATTTGGGCTTATAGGTGTTTGGGGTTTAGTGGTTTGCCTGTGAGCCTCACCCGCGCATGAACAAAAACGTCGTTGCGGCCGCAAACTTGGTTGGTTCGTCTTATTGCCATGAAGGCAGACAAGTCTTGCCGAAATTCTTTCAACCGCAAGCCCTAAACTTAAAGTTAAAATCCAAAGCCCTGAAGCCCAGGCCCACTGACACTTGCTCTCCATCGCCAGTTGGGTCCAAAGATTAGGTTCCCAAGGAGTGCATCAAAATCTCAAACGTAAACTCCCTTAAACCCTCGTTCCCAAAAACCTAACTTCTAAGCTAAAACATGGTGGTTCTTCTGACTTGAGGTTGATGGGTGGTGCTTTGAGCCTCCCGCAACCTTGCGAACACTCGGTCCTTAATGCGAGCTTTGGGGGCTGTACTATACTGGGGTTTAGGGTTTCAGATGTAGCGGCTCCAAACCCACATGAACACCAGCTGTTGAAGCCTGGCCCCTTGAAGGGAGACGAACTCGAATCTTGACACACTCAGGTCAGCCTTTGTGTCTGACTATTTCGATTCGCTCCGTACATACATATATATATATATATTTATTTATATATGTATATATCTACGTATTATATAGCACCCGCATATAACGCATCTGCGAGAGATCCGAAGGACTACTCGAGGCAGGAAGTTATCAAGTTCTGGTGACGACCTGCGCTCTCAACAGTACTCGCACGAATATTCTGCATACCATAACTAACAACAACAGCAACAACAGCCGCTGCCGCTGCAGCAGCAGCAGCAGCAGCAGCAGCAGCAGCAGCAGCAGCAGCAGCAGCAGCAGCAACAGAAACTGCAATAATAACGGTCATAATGATAACGACAAGAAAATAACAGTAGCAAGTCTAGTAAGAACTATAAGCATGAAGCAAGATCAGGACACCAAACACTAGGTCCTGTCGCATTCCACTCTTTCTTAACTCTCATCTCAACCTTCAAACTCAAAGCCAAGCTCAACCCTTGTAAGCCTGGAGCCCTGAACACTAAGCCCGAAGTTGACTGCAGCTGCCTCAAGTCGCTGCATCACCACCTGTGCAGCGAAAGGGTAGGTTCGCGCAAAGGATCTGTAGAGCTTAAACGCTTTTAGTGGCCTAAGTAAAATAGTTGGTCAGAACATGATTAAACAGGTTACTGTAAGGGCAGCTACTAGGGTTCGAGGGGTAGGGGTTTGGAGGGCTGATCGTGTGTCGAACATAGGGGCCCAAACGAGAAGTAGAATATTGGGTATGTGAAGCATGTAACCCTGCAATGTTGGGGATTTGGGGCGTGGGCAGCAACTGGTGTCTCAAAGATCATGTGAAGCCCATGCTACCGCCTAAAGCCAAAACTGCAAAGGGCTTTGTAAGCGCGTTTTGGTATTTTTTGCCTTTTTCCAAAGTATTTGCAGAGCACCCCCCAAAAGAGGCAGGCTTCAGAGTGGTTTAGGGTGTTGGGCTTCTGTAGTGAAATGCCCCGGCCATTAGTCATTGCTGTTGTAGGGTCATAGAAAACATGTATGCATGGTCTCGGGACAACACAGCACAAATCTCTTACAAGATAGCTTTGGCAGTAGATTCCCAACGTCGCCGCTCCAGATTTTAAGCTCGGCGGTGGAGGACATTGCATGCAGATTGAGAACGTGAACGAAGGTTAGGAAAGTACCTACAACAGGACACATCTTGGTTACCAGGGTAAGTTTCATGCTGAGCTGCTGTTTCGACCCCTAAACGGCCTCGTTGAACTCCGCTGCCTCAAATGCGAGTTGGGTATCCTGCAGATTCAGCTGGACAGCCGCAGCCAAAGTGAAATCTGTCGGAATGGATTGCAGTACCCCTAAACCCTAAACTCGAAACCCTGTTTTTGGGCTACTGCATTCGCTTCTTAACAGAGGGTCTTATCTTTGAAGATCCGCAAAGTATAGGTTCTCTGGCAACGACATGCGTTTGGGCTTGGGCCTCTGAGGTGATCTACCAACCCTGTCTAGACCCTCGTCCATGCCCAAGCGAATCAAGCAGTGCTTTTATTTATTGTTGTGGTTGGATGAAGAGTCACTCACATTCATGGTGTTAACACCTAGTCGGCCAGCATAGCATTACAGGGGCCTGAGCAACTACCCGTACCAGATCTTGCGGGCGCCTAGTTAGAAGCATACCACAATATAGCCAAAACGCTGATCTAAAACACAAGGCCACCTACTACGACTATTACTACTATTACTACCGTTGTTACCATTGCTACGGTTACTACTGCTACTACTATTACAACTTCTATTGCTATTCAGAGCCTTTCCAATTGATGTTACCATCACTATCAGTTACTGTTTTACTAAGAGCCCTTCCAGTAGCAAGTCGATCTGCCCCAAGATTGCCTCGAGTCCGACATACGAAACACTTTGTGGTGGGACACCGAGCCGATGTTTAGGGTTTAGGTTTAGGGGATTTTAGGGGTTTAGGGCTTAGGGCTGAAATGGCCTGAATACCGAGTATGTAGCAGCATTTAGTGACTATTATCCCGTTATCGTCCCCATGGAATTATAGTATAACACGCCGCAAAACCCATTCCAACTGTCAAGACCCATAGATTCGACCGCCTTTAGAACCGGCAAGTCAGTCCTTGCCACGCGCCAGCCGCGATGCCCGGTCGATGAGTCCGATGCAAACGGCGCCTCAACATGTGTGTCGATAGGGTTTGGGGTTTAGGGTTGGGGGCCTAGGGTTTAGGATACTTCGGCTGCGTTGGTGGATGAATGAACCTACTTGTCGATTGTCATCGGGGAACTACAGGTTAGCGTTTGGGGTGCGGAAAAGTCGGATGACTACGTCCCGGCTCTTCTTCAAGAGACCTTTGATCCACATGATTGGACCCTTTATCTGATCCACTAATTTTCCAAACCGTAACCCCTAAATCGGGGCTTTTCAACCAAACCCGGAACGGTATCCAGGAACGTGGGTTCCTAGCTAGGACTCTAGGTTCCTGCGACCTCAGAAATCTAGTCTATAATCTTCGAAGCCCCAAAGCCCCACAGCCTAAATGCGAATTGGATAATAAGGTATCGGGTGGTAGTAAAATCCCTTATAAGCTTGCCTTAGTACTACAGTAGTTTAGTGGAGCTTTCAGGGTTTAGGGTTCAGGGTAATGCAGGGGCCTTAGTAATTAGAATAGGGTTTTGGGCTCCTTTGTTCATAAGGAACCCGAAGGAATAATACTGGTAATTATTTGGGCCCCTATGGTAGGTAACCTTGAACCTTTTTGGCTCGATCTTCCAGCACCCTGGCTCGGTACGCGTTTCGGTTTTTCCTGGCACTCCCCAATCCCTAAGCACGTAAAAGCCCCAATCCTGGAATTCTCTGAACCAAAATCCTACAACCTAAACCCTAAACCCTACCTCCTACGGTCCTACACCCGAAACCCTACACCGACGTTTTAGACGTCTGAGCTGCCGGCCGGCATGCACGCCATTCAAGGGCGGGAAGAGCTCTCCCTGCAGGGCAGTCCAGTAGAGTACCCTGAACCCAAAGTTACTCTAAGGGTTTACTGTAGGCTTTAGGGTGTAGGGTTTGGGGTTTGGGGTCCAAAGCCGTGAAGGGCCCTGTCGGAAAAAAAACAAAACCTAATTCAGGGGCCTTAATAATAGAGCAGGGTTCCTGCAAGGGTTCCTTGAAAGGGTGCCAAAAGGGTTACTACAAGGGCACAATGCAGGGGCCTTAATAGTTGTTTTGGGTGTATTTTCTACTATAGTTATAACAAAGAACCCCCAAAATAGTATTGGCAGTCATTTCAGGCCCTTATATTAAACTCTCACAAAGCCCCAAACTAGATCTTCAACTTCAACGCCAGGAAGTAGGTCGAAAGCCGGGGAAGCCGACGTTTGCAACGGGGTCGGGGCACCTCCACTCTTCAAGGGCTCCAGTTTGGGTTTAGGGTTTAGGGTTTAGGGTCAGTGGGCTGTCCTCTCTTCATAGCTTTAGAGTCCAGCGGCTAGGATGAAAAGCTCCCGGCTTCGAGGAGAATGGGAACCCCGAAACCCTAAGGGCTTAGGGTTTAGGGTTTTAGTGTTTTAGGGTTCAGGGTTTAGGGTGTAGGGCTTTCGGGTTTTAGGGTGTAGGCTTTTCGATTTATACCCGCACCCTGATCCAAGCTTCAGGGCTGAACGCGTCTCCCTGAACCAACAATCCTAAAAGAACAATGTAATCCTGGAACCCCCCCCAGCCGCAACCTAAACAAAGGCTTTAGAACCCTGATGACTGGTTTTACTCGATACATGTTTGGCTCAGGGTTTAGGGCTTAGGGCAGGTATAAAGAAACGATGCCAAATCCGTGATTCCAACCAGGACCATGACCCTAAATCCTGAACCCTGAACCCTTCCCAAACCCTAAACCCCTGCACCCAAAAACCCTGAATTCTATCTAGGTCGCTTTTGGGTTCTGGTCTCCGGCTCTTTCTGGGGCTTAGGGATTTGCCCTTCGAGCCGCTTGGGCTGGCCTGAACCTACCGGGTTTCAGAACATTAGGGACGGCTTAGGGTTTAGGGTTTAGGGAGTTTAGGGAGTCATGGGTTTAGGGCTTAGAGTTTCTAGCGAGGGAAGGAAATGGAGATCCTAACTAGTGGGATCCTTCTTCGTGAAATGTAGTCAACACTTCTAAAACATCGCGGAAAATACACCTTGCTTCGTTGAAGCAACTAACTCCTAATGATTGAGGCGTCCGCTCTTTAAACCTGGCGACACCCTTCGTAGGCTTATGCTCGGGAAACTCGACAGAATCTTCAGAAGCAGTAAGACTGAACTCCTATAGCTCCGGCGGTGGGAACATCCATAGACCCTAAACCCTAAACCCAAATCCTAAGCCCTAACCCCTGAACCTCAAGCCACACAAGTTCCCGCCTTCTGAAAAGGTGGGCACAGCTTCTGCATGACACGAGCAAATCCGTTGAGTGCTTCAACGCTGACATCAAACAAGTACCTGCGGCAAACCTAAACCCTAAACCCAATAGCTGCTGCTACAAGCCCTCGGCCGAAGCTGCTTTTACACTCTCTGCCCTACAGCTTCAAGCCGGAAGACTTGATTAATATAGGGCCCTAAATAATTACCCATACCAGTTTGGTGGGTTCCCTACTACAGCTAAAGTATAATATGCCCCAAAACCTTATGCTAAATATCAAGGCCCCATATTATCCTGAACCCTATCGTATCCCTTTAGAAGGAGCCCATTTATAGATCCCTTTACAAGGAACCACCACAGGAACCCTGTTCTTACGATTATTGTAAAACCCCAGAAAGTGGGAAAATGGCTTAAGGACAACTAGTGCTGGGATTCCCTGCGCATTACTCTTCAGGGATTGAGTCTATTGGGTTTCCAAGTTTTAGGCTTCTACTGTCAACCCTTGAATCCGAAATCTTAAATACCTCCTCAACCCAAAACCGCCTAAACCCCACACCCTGATCCCTTTTGAACCCGAAACCCGGACTCCTGACGCTGTGGAAGACTGTACTTCTCTAACTTCTAAAGTCGGCCTCTACAGCTCTTGGAGCCCAAAAGACCCTAAACTCTAAAACCCCTACACCCACCCTCAAAGGAACCCAAACCATAAAACCGCAAACCCTCAGAGGAACCCCTAGCCTAAACCCTGAACTCTAATCCTAGAATCTTAACAAAGGTCCTGAAGTACAGAGCCTGAGCTTTGTGTCTTAAGGTTTAGGGTTTGGTTTTAAGGGTTTAGGTCTAAGGGGTTTAAGGCTTAAGGTTCAGGGTTTTTTTAATTTAGGGGTGACCGTTCACTTGTCGTGTTGGTCTTGCTCAGCTTTTCGTTTTGAACCCTAAACCCCAACCCCTTCAGGGCTTGCTGGATGAAGGACTTCGGGTTCAGCGTCTTCTCTCCCCAGGGAACCAGGCTGGGGAATCTTGGGTTTAGGGTTTAGGGTTCAGGGTTTAGGGACTTCTGCTCAGGATCTCGCAATCTGGGCCTCAGGGCGCAGTGCCTTTAAAGAACTGGGCCCCGAACCCCAATCCATAGACCCCAAACCCCCAAAACCTGCACGAACGCCCGGCCGGCACTGGAGGAGGTAGCAGAACATGAGGATGTCGTTGGGATCCTTGCGCGGCGGATTCTCGGAGTCTTCATCATGGATATGCGGTGTTTTTCTGATACCTTTTTCCGACTGCTGGGGATATTAGGGTTTGGGGCTTAGGGACGCTCACTCCAGGCCAGATCCAGGAAATCTGCATAAATGACATGCCCGGATGTAGAGCCTGGACAAGTCCTCCCTGGTTACATGTGGCTGATGTGCTGAACTGTATGGCCCAGGCGAAGGTTGGAATATACCGTTATCCTGAAAGGTCTTGGTAAGCCATCCGTCATAAACCAACAGCCACCTGCCGTGATTTGAGCCGCTGATTTGCACATGCTGAGATTGCTCAAGTGGTAGCAAGTGGCCGACGCATTCTTGCTTTGTGGGAAGAAGCCAGCCAGACACCCAGGCAGACAGGCAGACAACCAGACAGGCAGACTGACAGACAGACATGCAGAAGGACACATCCATGCATCCATCCATCCATCCATCCATCCATCCATCCATCCATCCATCCATCCATCCATCCATCCATCCATCCATCCATCCACCCATCTATCCATCCAAACATACACACATGAGCCGGCGTGCAAATTACTTGATCATGCTGCTCATGTCTTTGAATTAGCGCGTCCCCTATCGTTCTCCGAGGAATTCACCTAGCGCACTTGCAGGGAGCATCCCTCCCAACACAATACGACTAAACTAATTAGATTATTACTGCCCTTGATAGCGCTTTGCTGCCCTTCACTGCATGTTACTGCCCTTGACTGCCTTTTTCTGCCTTTTGCTGCCTTTCGCTGCCTTTTACTGCCTTTTGCTGCCCGTTAGTGCCTTTTACTGCCCTCTGCTGCCCTTTCCTGCCTTTTACTGCCCTTTACTGCCCTGTACTGCCCTTTACTCTCCTTTCCTTCTCCTTACTGCCTTTTACTGCCGTTTACTAGCCCTTTACTGCCGTTAAGTGCCCTTAACTGCCCTTTAGTGCCCATTAGTGCCCTTGACTGCCTGTTACTGCCCGCTACTGACCCTTTACTGGCCATTTAGTCCCTTTACTGCCTGCTAACGGCCCCATCTGCCCTTTAGTGCACTTTAGTGCCCTTTCCTGCCCTTTAGTGCCCTTGACTGCCTTTTGCTGCCCTTTAGTGCCTCTTACTGCCCTACCGCCCTTTACTGACAAGTTCAGATCAAGTGCGACAGGTACCTAAGTGAGCCATGGCCTTGTTTGGCAGGTTTTGGGCCCATTTGAGGTATCGACCGGTTATCGATCTCCACATCTGACGTGAAACCTGAAAACCTGCAGAACGGATGCAGCACAAGCTTTCAGCGCACAGGTTCAGGACAAGGCATCCTTTCAAGGCTCGGACCCCCTCACGCAAGTTTAGAACCTGACTCGATGGACCTCTGAGCCTCCGAAGCAATCCGCACACAAGTTTAGCCTTTGGGCAAAGGATTGCTCATTCAGCCTTTACTGTTCAGGTCCCGGTCTTGTGGATTTGCCGCCGATCATATCAAGTATAAGTAGCCGTATCGTTCTAGCGCGTCCCCTATCGATCTTGGGGGTTCTGGCTCAACACTACACAAACGATAATTTTGACCCCAGCTCACATACATCCAGGCAGGCAGGCAGGCAGGCACACCACAGATCGAGCGACAGACGTACACTGGCAAAAGAATAATAAATACAAAGATGGATTCTGTACACTATGAGCTCCGGCAGCGCCACTTGAGGATGAAGTCGCTTTATTTTGTGTGTGTGCGCGTCTGGCTCAAGGTTCAGATTTCCCGCTTTCGATTCAACTTTTTTGGTCAAGCCAGTCTCTACAGGGTATCACCAAGTGATGACCGCCAAAAGATCACAGCCTGCTGCATGAAACTTGGCAAGTATCGCCTCCAGCGCAGCTTTTGGATCCTCTTGTTTGACGGGACCGTATGCTTGCACCAAGTGGCCCTCGGTGTGCGTTCGTGTACCATTGGACGAGACTCCAAAGCTGCCGGCGTGTTTCAAAATATGAACACCAAATGGGCTGTAGAGTCCCAGCCATAGCTCGTCAAATGCTGCATGTCCAAACTTGATGTCCTGGAACTTCACCGACCAGCGAGACAAGGAAGGGTGCCACAAAAGCTTGGAGCTTTTGAACTCGACTCGGACGAGATCACGTTGCCAATCGGCATGCCCCCTTCCACGACGCTGAAGTGGCTTCCTGCCCGGAAGACCTGTTTCCGCGAAGTCGCTGGCGAAAGAGCAGTGTGGGTGCATGATACGATCCACTTCCAAAGCCACCTTCTGCAAACACATGCCTCTTGAGCATTCCGATTTGTCAGCCAGGGGCACACCACGATAGCAGTGTGATGCAACGTTGGCACACTCTCGCTTAAACTCCTCACAGATAAGGCCTGAGACCAAGCTGCCGCTTGTCTCCCAAGAACTCAACTTCAGGCAAGACCCCGGTGCTTCTACCATTTTTCGCAACATGTTCTGACATGCTTGCTTTGGGCATAGAAGCCGTCTGCTTGCCGCTGCATTGATCGAATGCCCGTCCGTGCTTGTTCTGACCCCATGAGTAGCGATGCCGAAGCTATGGTCGTGCAACAGGACGTTTACTGTTCCAGGCGAGTGCAAGGCCAACAACAAATAATGAATTGTGCCGGCAACCTGATGAAACTTGACATGCTGCCAGCGTGCTGCCCATCTTCGGTTAGAGAGATTCCACGCCATCGACGTGGCTTTACATTCGACGTTGTAGCCATCGCACATAAAGTCGTGGGCACTCTGATGTGTGCTTCTTCTGAATCCATTGCACCTCCTTCCTGCAGGCGCCTCCGAAAGTATACTGCTTGGGAACATTGCAGCCATTGCATGTCTTGAGACTGTTTGCAAAACTCTTGCCTTCTGCCCGCTTGTCAGTCTTGCAAGTGGATCATGAACATAAGCAGACTCAGTTCGACTTGGCATTGCCTCCAGGATGTGTGAAAACTTTGCGGCATTCAAGGTAAGAACAGGACGCCGCTGACACCCGATCGGCCATGTGCGTTGAAGACTCCGAAGCATACCTGCTCTTGACGAACTTCCGTTAAGACCAGCCGCTCTACTGAATTGAATTCTGAAGAAGACCAGAATCGGCAGCCAAACTCAACCTGAGTCTCGGAGCATTATTTTCGACACACTACAAGTCGCAGGCAAGAGGTCTCACGGCCGGATGGGCACAGGATTTAGGGCTTGGTGTAGTCTGGCAGTCGGTCCACTGGAAACAGAGGGCAGTTGGTCAAGTTTGCAGGCTTGCGCAAGATGCCGGGGAAGTGCGCATTCGAGATGTTGCCCAGGGAACCACGTAAACCACATCTTATGCTGTATGCTTCATCCGGAGGAGGATGTGTGGAAAGTTGTATGAAAGTGTAGCTGTTTTGTACAATTCTTGTTCCCAGCGGTATCCTTATGTCTTCTGACTTTTGCAACTACAGGTGGAAGTGCTGATATGTCCAACCCCTCCTGCACTGGAGGCGCGGGTAGCCACCTTTCCTTGCTGCTTTCTGCTACAGATGACAGCCCTGAAATCAGAACCCAAACCCTAAAGCATTCAAACCAAGGCTGGTTGTTTATTCCAGGTTTGGAAAGCATGCAGCCCAGCCAAGCACCTCATCCGTACACGGCCAAACTCAATCAGACTTGTATGTGTTTGTATGATTACTCCTCAACCTTGAACCCTCATGATCGATCTTAACAGTGGCTATCTATGGCCCCGCAGAAGCTACATAGAGGGTACATAGGTTGGGAGCTCCAGATAAGTCAAGGACCTCCAAGTACCAATGTTATTCTGGTCCATACAAAGACACAGTATCACAAACCCCTAAAACCCGCTTTTAGGACTATTCTTAAGGCCAAAGCATCAAGCCCTTTGCAAACCATACAGGAAAACAGACACATGCTAATTTTGAAGGCCACTGTTTTACAGAACCTCTAACGGCCCACTAGTTAAAGAACCTCTTGAGGCCCCTTTATCTAAAGTAGCCTATATGACAGTTTGACTGCAAGAGACTGCCCAAAACCCCAACCTCTAAACCCACAACTTAAGCCCTAAACCTGAACCCTAAACCCCAAACCCCCAAACCCCTGAACCCCTAGACCCCTACCCCCAAACCCTGAACCGCCGGGGCTGGCCTCCTCTGTCGGATCCGTGAAGCTCTTGTCGTAGAGCAGACGCGCCGCCGTGATGTAACCTTCGTAGGGCGTGGGGCTTGGGGGTTCCTTTCAGGGCTCCTGCTCAAGGCTTCCTTTAAAGGATGGATAGAAGCCATCATGATTTCATGTTGTGGCTCCGCTCAAATCGTGCTTCCACTGCGTCACCGCTTACCATCATTCTTTCAATGCTGACTCGTGTTGCTTCTTGTGCCCGCGATCAGCGTCCCGATTGCACGCCGGCCTTACACTTCCTGACATCCAGAACTCGAATTTCGCAGCGTGCGCAATCGGAACAGGGAATCTGTGTAGGCTTCTATCTATCTGTTTATCCATCTATCTGTCTGTCTGTCTATATGCCTATCTGTCTGCCTGTCTGTCTGTCTGTCCGTCTGTCCGTCTGTCCGTCTACCCGTCTGTGCGTCTGTCCGTCGGTCCGTCCGTCTGTTAGTCCGTCTGTCCCTCGGTCAGTCCATGTCCGTCCGTCTATCATGCCAATCTATCTATCTATCTATCTATCTACCTATCTACCTACCTATCTACCTATCTATCTATCTATCTATCTATCTATCTATATCTATCTATCTGTCTATCGGTCTATCGGTCTATCGGTCTATCGGTCTATCGGTCTATCTATCTATCTATCTATCTATCTATCTATCTATCTATCTTTGATCTGTCGATCTATGCATCATGAAATCCCGTATTATCCTATCCTACCCATCTCTATACGTGCATATATGCACACACTATATACGCATATATGCATATGCACATATATATATATATATGGGTGGTTGTCAAAATTATGGACCCTTTTTGGGTCCTTATCATAATACGGCACCTATTATTTAGGGTACCCCAAAAGGGACCCTAATTTTGACAACTGCCCATATATATATATATATATATATCGAACACCAACAGAGATGGCGAATAAGTACAACACAAGCACAGCCATCAGTCCACTCCGCGACGGCACCTTCACGGAGATCCAGGAGCACGTCGCGTCGGACGAGATCCCACACCTACCAAGGGTTTTCGTACAGGTTTGGAGTTAAGGGTCTTTGGTCTCTAAGGTTAGGGATTTCGTAGGGGTTTGGAGTTAA